TGAAGTATGTAAAGCGATCATATATCATCTAAAAGAATTAGAAAAAGTTTTTTTGTTCTTCCTCGAATAACTTACAATCATTGGTGGCGACTTATCATCATAGACACAACAGCGCCGGTAGCACGCAGAACTGCAACGGCGTTATTGTGATCTGATTTGGTAAAGTCGATGCCGTCTACCTCTAGGATCTTGTCCCCCGGTCGAAGAGTACCCTGAGCCGGTCCATCCGGATTCACCTTCGTCACGATTATTCCCTGCGACAAAAACAAGAAATACCTATTTCCCATCTTTAAACGCGAAGATATATTCTCCTAAGAATAAAATTATATTTTACATTCAAAGTAGATTAAAGCGAGTAATTTGTGTAATCTACTTACGGTCTCCGCACCCGCCACTCCGCCAGCTATGCTGAAGCCGAGGCCTGGATTCTTCCTCACTTGAACAGGCAGCTTAGAGAAATTTAGGAAATTATGAAAAATAGTACTATTTTTTGTCATAAAAAAGTTTAGTGTATCTTACAAGTGAAATATGATCTCTGTTCCATATTAAAATTAAATTTTCTATATTAGAAAATCGATGTAATCGGTATGCTTCAGATTAAAATTTATCGATATGATTAATAGAATTTCTCACTTGAAAAATTCATCTTGAAAAATTAGAATTTTTGCGCTTTTATTTTATTCCGTTGGTATTATTAAAAAACATTGTGTGCGCAACAATATATTCCGTTTTGCAAATTACGTACCACATTCGCGTTTTTATGAGGACCGAACATCCACCTGAGTTTCGGCTTCCTCTCTGAATTCAGCATGTCATTAAATGCGGGACTCATTTGCTCTTTAAAGCTGTCGACATCGCTCACTGATTTGCCGTTCGTATTCATGTTCGGCGTGTCTCGGCCAGAATTCATCTCGCTCTTACAATTAGCGACAGCGGTGGTGTGAGACGTGACGTTCAATTCATCAGCGATTTTGTTCGTTTCAACGGGAGCGGCGACGTTCGCTCGACCGACATTCGACGCGTCGGTCGAGTTTGCGTTGTCGCACGCATTGCTACTCGTGACGTTTCCGTTCGTCAGCTTCCTCGATCGATCGAGCGGTTTCACCGGCGTCGACAACGGGCTCCGGTACTTCTTCCCCGTGATTGGCGACGTCGGTATGGAATACGCGTTCGACGTTCTACCCGCGTCGTACTCTTCGGCCGAGGTACTCTTGATCGAGCTCGTGTCGTTCATACTCGAATTTTCCATGTGTTTCGTTTTGAGAACAGGAATTTTGCTTGGCTTGAGGGCCCGATCGTTCTGTTCGGGATCGGCGCAGGAATCCGGGATCGGCGTGCAGGCTTGATCCGCGGTGGTTTGCTCGCGAGGATCCATCGACGCGTCGTCCGTCGACGCGCTTGAATTGGCGAGATCCGTTCGGTCGTCCTCCCGCACAGGCGTCTCGCACTCTTCGGTTCTCACCGATTCCGCGTTCTCATCGATGTTCTTCGGCGTGTTCGGAAACACCCCGGGCGAACTCGGGGGCGAGTTGAAGGGCAACGAAGGTGGCGGCAAGTGCGAATCCGCCTCGGTCGCTGGAAGAGTAAGGATTCACGTTAGAAAATTGCGTATCGTTTTCTTAATTTCTATATTCGAGTGAATAGTAACGACGTACGGTTGTTAAACTGCTGGAAGAGAGCGGCCTTCTTGGAGAACGCCGCCGCGATGTGATACGGTGGCGGAACCGGCGGCACATCGCAGGGTTTCGGCGTGACGGTCACCCGCGTCTGCTCGCCGTACTTGCCGTCCGTCACGTCGACGGGCATCGTCGTCCTGTAAGGCTCGATAAACTTCTCGGACTCAACTATCCTCGCCGTGTTCGCCTTGGAGTACTCGTCCGGCTTCCACGTAGAGTTTACATAATCGGCGACTGTCGGCGCCTTCGCGATGTATTCGGACGTGGGATTGCGAATGTACTTAGCCTCTCGGATGTCCGGACTCTTTTCCGTCGCTACCACCGTCTTGTTCGCCTCGTCGGAGGACTCCTCGGACACTGAGTGCTCCGTCGCCCCGGAATCGCTCGCCGAGCGATTGCTCTTGCAGATCTTCGCCGTGCGATCAACCGAAATTGTAGACATAGACGTACTCTACGGAGAAATAATGCAATAGAAGCAATTAACACGTAATTCTTATTTTTTTTATTAACTAACGTTTGTTAGCAAATCTATGTCGAGTTAAGCTATAAATAATTTTTTTAAATTTGTTATATTAGTTAAGATTTTATATACTATTCCCCAAAAAATAGAGGACATTTTTCAAACGCATAAAATTGAACAATTTTCAAACCGTTGAAATTCGGCAAAAAATTATCGCAAAGAAAAAATTGAAAAACCAAGTATAAAAAGTGTATCTGAAAAGTGTTCCCCAGTTTTTGTATATTTATTTGAACCCGAGTAATTTTATTGTTTGGTAAAAGGAGACTCACTCTTTGATCGTGAATGGATTGATGATGCAGATTACGGGCGTGCCTGGCGAGGTTGCGCAGCTCCTTGGGGTAAGGGGTCGGTGCTCGATGAAGTTGCCTGGGGACCTCAGAATCTATCTCAGCAGCGAAACATATCCTCTTGCCGGTTCCGATAATCGAGCTCGAAATCGGTCCTGCGTTCTGCGCCATTTCTACGAACGATCGACAAATACTTTAGTAAAAGATCGCTGTTAAAAAAATGATATCAATATCCTTGCTAACAAACGCGATGTTTTTCAATGCAAACTTTTATTCTTTGATATTCGATACCGACTCCTCGATATCTCACCATTTCATTCCTCATCTTCCTGTTCTTCCTGTTCTTCCTCCTCTTCCACTAGCAGCGTGAATGAATATCGCATTTCATCATTAATTCAAGATACAAGTCAAGCGCAATTTATGTTGAATCGACAAATCTTTCGAAACGAAAAATCGAAGAAGACAATGACGCGATGTGAAAGATACTCACGCTCTAAATCCTGCCGCGGCTTCTGAGGTAGCATGAAACAGCTCAGCACCATCATATCCTCCTCGCAATTGAACTCCTGCTGCAACGGCACTAACGGTTGGCTCTGATTGTCGCTCAGCCACAACGCCTTCAGGTTGCTGAGATTCAGCATGGAGACCGGTAAAAACTTGATGCCGTTGTTGACGAGATTGAGCACCCGCAGCGAGGACAGGTGGCCCAGCTCGGGCGGCACGCGCGTCAAGTTGTTCGATCGCAAGGAGAGCAAGGACAGCGCCGTGCAGCTGCCAATCTCGGCCGGCAGCGCGCGCAGATAATTATTGTCCGCGTTGAGACAGTGCAGCTTACGCAGCAAGCCTATCGAAGACGGCAAGTACTCGAGAAAGTTCTTAGTGATTATAAGCTCCTCTAAGCTCGACATCTGGCCGATGTCATTCGGCAGTGCGTTCAATTGATTGTCGTCGATCTTGAGGGTGACGATCGTGCGCAGGTAACAGAGCGTGTCGGGCAGCTCGTACATCTCGTTCGAAGACAGATTCATGATCGAAATGTCCCGCCAGCCGCGTATCTCCATCGGGAGCGCGTGCACCGCGTTCATCGTGCAGTCGAAGTGATTCAAGCGGTAGAGCTGCTCGACGTTCGACGGGACGCGCCTGATATCGTTGCCGTCGATCCACAGCTCCGTGAGATTGATGAGATCCCCGACGACTTCAGGCTGTCATAAATAACAATATTATGAAAAACTTGCCTCTAAAAAAAAAAGTAGAAAATGAAAACTTTTATTATATTACATATTATTATAGAAACTTCAGCTATTAATCAGGTGTAACTGAAATACGATAATTTGAAGTATTTTTAATTAGATCAGTCGTCGTCTTACTAGCTCCGTGAAGTCATTGTTGCCGATGTCGAGCCTCTGCAGATTCACCAAGCGGCTCATACTCTTAGGCAACGTCATCATGTTGTTCTCCCGCAACTCGAGCGTCCTCAAGCCTGACAGTCGTCCGAAATTAGCCGGCAGGTATTCTATGTACGCGTCATTTATGTAGAGCTCACGCAATCCGACAATATGCGTTATAGCGTCCGGAAAACGGTCGAAAGGATTGACACTAATGTCTATGGAACGAAGACTCTTGCATTCCTTTATACTGTCTGGTAACTCTTTTATACCTACCAAAAAAGTAGGAACACAAAGATTTTTAAGATATAATATTTTGTCACACATGTCACACGGATTCGATATATCGAGATATACTGACTGTTTTTGCTGAGATCTAGATGTTCCAGGTTGATTAACGACGCTATGGCGGGTGGTAATGTAGTAATGTCATTATCGCTAAGCGAAAGCATTCTCAACTCGTGGCACTGAAATAGCGGCCTGGGAAGATCTTTTATCTGAGAAAGAAAAACGTTAATTTTTATATGATGTAATTATAATTGAATTCTCATTTTAATAGATTGAGAAAGCACTCACTCTATTGGCATCGAGATACAATTTTTCCAACGTTCTTTCGTAAATGAACACATCGGGTGGTACATCATAGAGATTACAGTGATTCAGCTGCAGCTCGCAGATGTCTTCTTCCTGGGTTCTCAGACACGCGGCGCACTGCCACCAAGCGCTACCCATTTCATGTGTCTACAGCTGCAGAACAGAAATATATACATCGAACCGATTAATTTATCGTGTACATATTTGTTACAATGAAATTTATCTTATTTTACTGTTAATTAAAAATTAAAAAATTAAATTTTCAGTTTTACAAATATTTTTAGAAGCGTTCATTTTCTTTAGCACATTTCTGCTTAATTTAACAATCTACTTACAAAATCTTTAATCTCTTTTCTCCAATTTAGCATAATTACTCTGATTATTGTAGCTAACATCGAGACAAATTATACTATAATTACCTGTGACATTTTACAATTAATTCTTATTTTATTAAATATTAGAAGCACAAGAGAACGTTACCTCTCACCTGTGGGACTCTCAGGAACGATCCGGCGAGGGCATCGACGCGCATAAGTGCCGTGATCCACCGAGAGACAGATCGCTCCACTCGCGAAAACGTCGCCGACGACGATCATTCGTGGAGACGAGAGGAATCGCGCGCGATCTTCGGCCGTAGATCGCCGTATCACCGCGTCGCGCCGCAATCACGACGTCGCCGCGAGCAGCAGCGGTCGGGAATCGTCGCGTCGCAGCAGCGCTCAGGAATCGGCATCGCCGGTGACGTCGTCGCACTAGGTTCGCCCTCGCTCGCCGGGATAATGGAAAAGCGCGCGATGAGGGAGAAACGTCAAGAGGAAGTGTCACGGCGACTCGCGTCGATCCGTCGCGACCTTGCCGCTCGTCTCGGGCGCATATCTCACTCTTTCCTCATCGTAACAATCGCTCTGCACCGTGCGCCGATCGCGGAGATCCCCGTTCTCGATTCCCGTACGCCGACAAGACGCGATTTCACTCCTTTTTTGAAACCCTCTTCCGAACTGCGAGCCTGAGATACGTTCTAATCGACGCCGTGAGCGATGACCAGGGGGAGAAGGAAAGAAGAGGAGCCCAAACGCTCCAAACTGCCATGCTGAACATGAAACACCGTAACGCCGCCTTACGGAGTATGGAAAACTATAAGGGTTGTCCAGAAAAAAAAGAAGAAAAACAGATTGGAGCAGGGAAAAAATAAGCGCCGCAGGATGTTGCTCCAGGCATTATCCTGCGGTATTATACCGTCCAACCGCACGTTGTAAATGAATGCTAAGACATACAATGCGCTTCAGGTAGAAATTTCTCACCCATCCAGTTTACAAAAGATCTGTCATTTTGTGGTTTTCAGTCACTATAAAAAGCACCCCGACGCTGAAATTTATAAAACGGATTTATTTTTTTCTTGTGTGAAAAGCACACGTAAATTTAGAATATTTTATTTGTCGTTTTTCAACAGGAAAAATCGGCACAAACTATCTGAACAATTCAAAATTTGGCTCATAATATACTTCACAAATTTTTCGAAATTTATAGTCAACTTAAAAAAAATTTGTTATATGTATTGCTATTCTTTTTCTTCAATTTCGAAGCGTGTGAAAATGGAAAACACTATCGCTTTTTGCGCGCTCCGAAAAACTTCTGAAAAATGTTAAATAATTTTGTGTAAGTATATTTATACTTACAAAATTATAAAGTAATAAAACAATGTTGTCGAATAATCTGGTTCATATTTTATTTGAAAGATTCTTGAAATTATCTGATCTAGTGATGTGTGATAGGATCGCACATCGGATGCGATCTGAGTTTGTACATGTTCCATGCTTGTCTGCCTTTGCTGATCTGACCTTGCATGGTCTAACCAAGCCTAACTTGATGTGCCTGACAGTAGGTCTGTTCTTTTTACTGGCTGCACTAGTTCAGAGTTTATCTTTTTCCCTCCACATTGAAAGAAGAAAGATGAACTCTGAACTAGTGCAGCCAGTTCAGCTAAAAAGAGCAGACCTAGTAATACAATACACATAGTTCAGAACAGACTTACTGAGCGTAAAAATATTTGTCACAAGGTGATTTCTATTTTCCAATCTCTTATTTTATTTTTAATAAAAAAATATGCTATTGAAATAATTGCAAATAATGTCGTTTAACCTTTTTCGATCAGGATGAAAGGTGACGTAGGATAAAATTGAAACATCATTAATGCATGGATAACCTTAGTCATTTTTAAAGATCTTCTGTTGATAAGGTATGTCTAACTCCAAAATATTTTTCAGGAGTTTTTCGGAGCGCGCAAAAATCGCGATACTGTTCTCCACTTTCACGTGCTTCGAAAGTTAACAAAAAGAATAGCAATATATATAACAAATATTTTTAAGTTGACTATAGATTTCGAAAAATTTGTCGCAATATTATGAGCCAAATGTATTCGTCGGATTTGAAAAGCTGGCCGGTATTCAGCCTGTTGACGCCGGAATTTGTATCGCAAATTCACATGGTAGTAGTGTATGGTAAGTTCTTTCTTTTCCTCTTGTATCTTTTGCTAATTTTAATTTATTGTTACTTACAATCTGATATTTTGCAATTTAGGTAACTTGGGCAATGAGGCTTTAATCGTGACGAAGGACAAGATGGTATATGCCTTGGGTAATAATATTGCTGGCTGTTTGGGGACTGGAGATGCGCATAGCACATTGTATCCCAAAAAAATAGACGCTCTCTGCAGCAAAGAAATAAAGACGTTCGCTTATGGAAGCGGGCCTCATGTCTTGGCACTTACAGAAAAAGGAGAGGTAAGGAAAATTACTCTTATTAAACGGTAAAAGTGATTAAAAGGGATTCAAAATCGTTGACTATTATTATTCTATATGAAATGTGTGATTCTATGTGAAATGTGAAACACCGGAGATTTTACAAAATCGCCAAATCGAGTAAAGTAAATGTCAAAATTAACAATAATACCTTTGAAAGGTGTATTCCTGGGGTCACAATGGTTATTGCGAATTGGGAAACGGCACCTGCAACCAAGGTCTCACGCCCACCCTAGTAACCATGCCTTCCGTAGGAGCAGTGGGCAGTTTGAACGTAAAATGCATCGTGGACATAGCATGCGGGAGTCATCATTCTCTCGCTCTCACTGAGGATGGAGAAGTAAGCGACAAGGACAAAATATAATAGTAGAATTAATTATACGTTTCAAAATATGCCTTCCTCACCCGACATTTTCCGAATCGTCTGTTGCAGGTGTACGCCTGGGGGCAAAACAATTGCGGACAAGTGGGCAACAGCATCAGCACGAATCAGGGCGCGCCGAGGCAAGTGAACTCCAGCCTGGTCGGAAAGAAGATCGTCCACATCGCCTGCGGCCAGACCTCGAGCATGGCGCTCACCGACAACGGCGAGGTGTACGGCTGGGGCTACAACGGCGTCGGCCAGCTGGGGATCGGCAATTACGTGAACCAAGCGAATCCGTGTCGCGTCGGCTCGCTGATAGGCGTCGTGATAGGTAATCAAGCTTGTCTTTGACGGTTCGTCTCCGACGGTGCGATTCTAATCGCTCGCAAACGCAAGCAAGGTGTCGCTGTGCCTCGATGTGACGTTTTCAGTCAAGGTAGCCTGCGGTTACGCGCACACCCTGGCACTCACTGACGAGGGGAAGCTTTACGTCTGGGGCGGGAACAGCTACGGGCAGCTGGGCATCGGGAACAAGACAAACGCTTGTAATCCAGTCACGGTAAATTTGTTGTTCAAATATCGCGGAAGAGATAAACGAAAAAGAAAATTGTGAAATTTTGTGACTGACAGCTGGACCGCGCATTTGTGCAAGAGATGGGAAGAGTGTCGGATATCGCCGCCCTACATTACAATCATATCAGCGTCGCCGTTGGCGAGGGTGGATGCGTCTACATGTGGGGTCATTGCCGCGGTCAGAGCATCACGACGCCAACCGCTACGCCGTTCTCCAGCATACACGACGCACTCGCCTGCTACGCGTCGCCAAGCGTCATGCACGAACCGCTCGTCTTGCATACGGACGAAGAGTCGAGTATCCTGGAGAGCTTGGGTGCTGCGTTTGACGATGCCGTATGTTTCACTCTTTGTCTCGTGCTTATTTAGTTTTATATTCATCATTTAATGCTAATATCATATGTATAATTCTTAAAAAAAAAAGGACATGAACCAAAAGCACGAACGTATCGGAGCGCAAAAAATATTACAAAGTTAAAAGAGTAGAAAATCTTTGTCTCTAAAGATTGTTTTATTTTACTTTTTCTAATTTTATAACAGTTTTTGCGCTTTGACATCCATGTTTTTAGTTCATAATTTTTTTATACGTACACTATTTATCAAAAAGATCGACGCAAGCCTTTTGCATTCAGTGAAACTTTGTACATGCTGTGTTGATTAGAAGATTAAAAAATAATAAGAATGTCACAGTACAAGAACCATTTATTTAAGAAAATCTCTGTCTTAAATGTGCGGAATAATATTTTGTAAAGGTCACGAATCTAAAATTATTTTGTCCAAGTGCATCGATTTGTTTGATAAATAGTATATTTAACAAGATTGTTGTGCTTCTCTGACATAGGAGACAAGCGATCTCACAATAGAAGTGAAAGGACAGCCCATCTACGTGCACAAAGCTATCCTGAAAATCCGCTGTCCGTATTTTAGAACCATGTTTACGCCCAATTGGACGGAAAATAATCAGAGGTAAGCGCATTTAAAAAAAAAAAACCTGTATTATTATTATTTTTTAAGCCTGCTTCTTTCGTCACATGTTCTTTCCGACAGTGTCATCGAGCACGATCAGTTTTCCTACGTGGTGTACAAAGCTTTTCTAAAATACTTGTATACCGGCGTGATCGATCTACCGGCTGAAAAAGCGTTAGGTGAGTTCGAGTTCTGTTGTTCTGCAACTATCAAACATGATTGAAGCAATGCTTTTGCAGAGCTTTTGGACCTGGCTAACGTGTACTGCGAGAGCAATCTCAAGAGGCGCTGCATTCAAATGATAAAGCAAGGGATCACCATAGCGAACGTGGCTTTTCTCTACAGTACCGCGATCGAGTACAACGCGGAGGTAGCGATGTTCTACAACGTATCGCTGTTAATTTAAATTTCGCTGACTGCGTAATTATTTTTTACAGGAGCTGGAGGAATTCTGCTTCAGATTCGCCCTGAATCACATGACGGCTGTTGCGCAAACGGAAAATTTCGCCAAACTGGACGAGAACACGATAAAAACTTTTATAATTAAGGCGGCCAAAGCCGGTGCTTTCCGGACGTGATCCGACTGTTTGTCTTACATTAAAGGTGATACGCTTTGACGGAGGTAAGGGACGGCTCATCGAATTTATACGTGCGCCATGCGAGCACTCGCGGCGCGAATTCCTAGTCGAATCGATCGACGAAAGACTTATTCCAAGAAGACTCGTTTTCTGCATTTCGCTATTTGCGTTTCGTGTAAATAATAAATGAAATAAGCAGCCGCGTTGTTTTGCGGTTTCGCTTAGCGCATCTTCGTATACGAGATTTCTCTCATGACATTCGTCGATTCGCTTTAATTGAAAAGGTGATCCTGCGAGGTACCTGATATTACTTTTAGAATTTGCATAAGCAATGAAAAACAAAAGACAACGTTATTTATTGAGACGCAATCGAAGAGAATAAACTCAGTCCGCGCTGCAGGCGAATTGTTATAATTGCTGACATATCGAATTTCTTCGACAGCTGTGAAAACTTTATCCTTCCGCTTATCATTCCTGATGCGCAGCGATGCGTATAACTTTTGCGCATGAATTGCGCCGATATTTTGTTTACCGTGATCTATAATAAACAACCGATAAGATATATCCAGATGTACAATGTATACTCGAATAGCAATAAAATTTTCTAGCATTGCCAATACTCTCCACCGTCATCCCTCGATACATTATGCCTACCAATATTAATAATAGCGGAGAATAAATAATGCAAGGGAAAATCGGTGGAAAGGGATTCCGGATTCCTGAGAAGGGGTGGGGGGGGGCGACTCGATTGTCGTTCGTACATCATTTTATTACGATATTCTCAATATATACAAGCGATAGATTTTGTCGTTCGTATAATACGTACGTATCTACTGATTAATAATCATCATATGATATTTAATATACATACATATATACCTTGAAACGGGAACGATCAATGCCGCGTGCCGCGACTCGATTGATAAACTCCGATAAATCTGTACACTGTGCATAACATTTTCCCCCCCTAACCCCTGTTCTCCCTCTTCTTGGAAAATTCCGAATCGCCGAACGCCCCCGATCGTTCTTATTCCAATCTTGTATATAGAAGTATACAAGATATACACATATACGGAGTGTCCGTCTTACAGCGGCCACCGCAAAACGGACGCTCCGTATATTTATATACGTGTCATTTATCTTTATTTAAATGTATTTATATATGTATAAGTAATTGTTATATTAAATTAGGTAATCGCGGTCGTTCGCCGCGACCGGAAACTTCCGGTTGCAACCGGCGCGTGCAACGACTTCAGCGGTATTTCGAAGAGTCGCCGGTGTTATCACGATGAGCTTCAACAGCTTCTCATTTGCTAGATTACGTTCTCGCCAATGGAGGCTATTTTCGATTTTGTTGCGATAATCGTGAATAAATAATGAATTTTATTTTAATTTTTTTTTTTTTGGAGCAATCCCCCCGGGTGAGATAGATCGTTGAGATTGAGATGGACCACGATTCGAATTTGTAGAATGCGAGACAGATGGCATTTTTTTTTTATACGTTGAATATTTTGATTACGTTCAGTTAAGTTTAGCTAATAGCGTTCTTCAATATTGCCAAGCTTATATGCAATTGCGATTTAAATTTATACGAAGTGTTAAGACTTTTTACAGTAGCGAAGAAGAAAGCTGAAAGAACATTCGTAAGTATTACGCATTACGTTGATGTAATATTGCTAAATTGAGACTTTTATCCTTAAACGATCCGAATATCATCTGCGTTCGGTTAAAAGTTTCGGATAAATGATAATTCGATAAAAGTATATAAATTCTAAGATAAATATAAAATATCCCAAACTAGAGATTAATATCATTGTTCGTCGACGTCGTTAATAATAAAAATTATACTTCTCCTTAACGCGACAAAAGTGTTGAAATTTATCATTTTGGTAAAAGAAAAATTTCCATTATAAAGACTTTTGCGGGCGGTTGCACGCGATGGTTGCATGTCGTCGATCGCGCTTCGATGCGACGCGCTTCGAGAAAAACTCCCTCCCCGGAGCTCATCGGATTCTGAATTGTCGCGTCGAAGCACGACCGGCCGCCGACAGCTAGACGACGATTCGTCGATTCTTTTTTTTTTTTAATTATTTTATTAGTAGTAATCGTTCTTTTTTTCTGTTTCTGTGAATTAATTAGAGCGTATTTAGGCCTGCGGGCTACTTTTCTCCGGCGACGCGCTGCGAGTCTCGTCGACGACAAAAGCGAGACTTCTCGCTCTCGCGCCCCTCCGTCGCACTTTACAAGCACTTTTCAAAACAAGAAGAGAGAGAGAAAAAGGCGACTATATATATAATCTATATAATCTATCCGTCGCGCTTGTCTGAAGTTTCGGTTTGGCTCTTCTTGTCCTCCTTCTCCACCACGGCGTCCGGTCCTCCCGCTCGATCCTCGACGAATTAAGGTCCTTGGCGATTAAAGATCATACGAATGAAGACTTTGCCCTTTCGCGCCGCGTCTACTTAATGAGTTTATCTTTTATTTTTTTTTTGTTCGTGTAAAAACAAGTGGATTGTCCGTAGCGTCTTTTGCCTTTTGTTTTTTCTCTTTTTTTTCTCATTTATGTTCATTTTTCTTCCTTCCGCGCTACATAAGATTACTACTACGAGATTACACCTTAAATTACACACACACACAGAGCCACAGTTAATGCGATTATTCACCTTTTCGCTTTTTTCTTTTTATTTTTTATTTTTACTTTTTATCGATATATCTTATTCTTACGCAACTTTTTTTTCTTTCTCTCTCTCTCTCTCTCTCTCTCTCTCTCCCTCCCTCTCCCTCTCTCTCTTTCTTACTACAATTTTTGATAAACCTGAAGGATCTCGAGTTTGTCGTGGACGACGCGCGTCGCGGTGCTCATCGTCGCGCGTGGGATTATAATCGTTTAGAGTCCTTTGTACAGACTTCTGATAAATCGTTCTATAACTTTTTTTTTTGCCATTTGTCTTATGTGATAACTTTTTTTATCTCTTACTGCGAACTAGCGAATACTCTCCTTTCTCCCTCTCTCTCTCTCT